GTGATATGCATGATCTTGTGGGATACTTTATGGAGTATTTTCACACCACTGCTCACTTAATAGTTGAGAAAAGGTCCCAAATCCTTTTTTTTGTGTTGAGAGAGAGGGTGGGGGGAGCGGGTGGGGTGGGGATAACCTTTAGCCATGGAAACTATATTGGATCTTCAGTATAAGCATTGGACACACGTAGGGGGGTTAGTGAGAATCTAGCAGTTCTGTATTCCTAAAAGACAATAGCACTTCAGAGTTCTCAAGGGTTTTCATGTGTTTTTTAGCTACAAAACATGGGTTCAATATAAAAGTACTCTGTAGTCTGTACAAAAGAAACCATTTTAAGTGAAAGTGTGAAGATTCCCTTCAGTAATCTTACTCGAAGAACTTAGCTTAATATCGTTCGTTATCTTTAGGTGATGTACTACCTATAATGTTTTGCACATAGATTTTTATAATTTATTATATATATATATTTCGTTTTCTTTCACTTTTGTACTTGCATGTGTAAGACAACACATTTTTCTCTAATGAAATAAATCATAATTTAAACATTCAGGTAATGGAGAGCTTAGAGCATGCAATGAAAAGAGGTGCACCGATTATTGCTGAGTATTTGGGAGGTGCAGTCAATTGTGATGCTTATCACATGACTGATCCAAGAGCTGATGGACTTGGTGTTTCTTCATGCATAGAGAGGAGCCTGGAAGATGCAGGTGTCTCACCTGAAGAGGTAAGCTTTCTTATATATGATCATAATGGTAGCTTTTATTTTTCATGGTGTTAGCATCTTCTTGTATGACAGGGTACTAAATTCAGATCTCTTTGAGCTACAAGTAGTTTCTGTCAGATTTAAAGTCATCTAGTGGAGTACATCCCATGTGTAGTTGTATTTTATTATTCCTATCTTTTATTAAAAAATGTTTTGAAGGCTTCAGTGATGTGACACTCATGTCTTTCTGCAAGGATGAATTGAGTTTTGTGTAATGGCTCTTTCTTTGTCAAGCCATATTGATAAGATGTTGATACACTCGATAGTCTGTAGTTTGTACTGTGAAACTTCTGTAGATGGAGAAAGTGCTTAGAATATGAGTGTTGACATGATAGTTATTAAAATTTAAAAAGTTAAACTTTGCAAAATTTGATACATGTTTTATCATTGAACATCTTCAGGTCAATTACATAAATGCCCATGCTACCTCCACAATTGTTGGTGACTTAGCTGAGGTGAACGCCGTAAAGAAAGTATTCAAAAACACATCTGAGATCAAGATGAATGCAACTAAGGTAAGACTGTCTTATGTTTTTATTCATCTGCTTGTAATTTCATTAATGTAAGATTAAAACGTGAATTTTTTATGCTTCTGCTTTCTCATGTATAATATTAAGATCCTCATCCCTTATATTTGTATATGCTTTGCAGTCTATGATAGGGCATTGTCTTGGTGCTGCTGGGGGTATGGAAGCTATTGCCACCGTAAAGGCTTGTACAACAGGGTGGCTACATCCAACCATAAATCAATTTGTAAGTTGTGAATCTCTCTTTATCATGAAAGACTTTTAATAATAGTCAGTAGCAAGTAGCAACATTATGAAAGACCTTTATATTATAGTCACTAGCAACTTCTTAATAAGCAATTGTGATTTATGCCCTACTCAGGTTCTTGTCATTATTTATTCATTGAGCGTTAGTCTGAGCAAGGACTTTCTTTTTATTTTTATGCCATACTAAAGAGACTCCAGAATCTTTCAATACAATCAGTCGAATCAGAAAGGAATTTTGAAATATTTCCTTGACAGATTAGCCTCTTTTTATGCATATATTCTGCTCCATTCATATTCGTACTTAATTTCTTTATTGCCTTTCTTGTCCCCATATTTGTTGCTCTGAAGCTTAACTACACTATTCATAATAATGCAGAATCCAGAACCATCAGTTGAATTTAATACAGTTCCAAATGAAAAGCAACAGCACGAAGTGAATGTTGGTAAGATTTCCAGCCATTTTTCTTTTCATTATCTTATATTCCTTTCGTCTCAGAATAGTGGTCACGTTGTCCCTTCCATGAAGCCTCAACATGCTTGAATATGATTTTGCAATTATACTTCTGTAATTCCTGCCAATTGAAATGCAAAGTGAGGTGATTTCTTAATGGTGCCTATGGATTAGGTTTCCGATATACTGCATTATTGCATTATGTTTATCTTTCCCAGCACCTCACCAAGACAAAATACCTGTCATTTGGAGGCATAGGCTACAATAAGTCATTGATTATTTGTTTCTCTCATTCATCCAATATACCTTTAATTCCCACCATGTACATCAACACATTCAACAACAATCTAGAATCCGCCCTGCAACCTTTTTCTGTTTAGTAAGATATGCTGATGATTAATTAAGGAGAGTATAGTTTGAAACTTAATTATAATAACATCCTATAAAGCACTTTTTTAAAGTTTCATACATTGTAAGTCTGACTACTATTGTTAGACAGAAATAAGGAACTTTTTTGATGCTAATGAACCCGTATCATGATTTTGCAGCTATTTCAAATTCGTTTGGATTCGGGGGTCACAACTCAGTTGTTGTCTTCTCCGCATTTAAGCCTTGAATGTCTACGTAATGTGGCTTTTCAATATCATCAACTTCAATGTACGCTTTGTAATTTTCGAGTTTTAAACGATTGTATTCTTCTCATTCTTCTTTACCCATTAAATAATATTGAGTAAAGTGTAGCATAGAGAACTAAATTTTCTTCATTTTTCCTCTATTTTCCCTTTAAGCTAGTGAAGTATTCAGCGGCTTCTTCGGTCCATACATTGCACGGAGGATTTTGTGGCCTGCAGAAGAGTGTGGTCTTGTTATAACAGGTTGCCCCCTCTGTAGCGAACCATTTGGTTGCATGTTTACGAGTGTTATTCCTTGATAGGTTAGATAATTTTTTTAAATTTTTAGATGTCAAATTGTGCATTGAGGTGGATCTTTTGATTCTAAGCTATTCGATTGCCTTGTTAGAATGAAGGAAGTTTGTCACAAAATATCTTTCAATTCACTTTTTTTTTTATGAGAAATGACTATAAAATTAAAGAATCACGAAAAAACAACCTTTTCATGCTTATAATCAAGGGGTATTTTGCAATTGCGAAAACCCATGATTGCTAAACGCAACCTCTACTTACTACTACTATACAGTATACACCCCTCCTAAATACCCTTTTAAGCTGAAATGCTCTTCACGACATTTTGGAATGCATTCCTTCCAACCCCTTCTTTCACACCCTATTTCTAGAAATTTATACTTTTTTTTTTATTCGAATTACTTGCCCAAATCAACTAACGAACAGTATTTGAGATTTAAAGAAATCGAACAAGAATTAGGCGAAGTTGGGCAACATTTTCAAAGTAATGCGTTCATACAGGGTTGAATTTTTTAGAATCTACTAACTACTATATTATTAAAACAAAACATGCTGACATCATTAAAATACATGTCAACTTTTTACAAAAAAGTCCGTCTAACCTATTTTTGACATCATTTTTTTTTTCTTTTCTTTTCTAAGGCTAAACAAATACTCCCTTCGTTAAATATTATGTGCAACCGCAGTACAATTCGCGGTTGCCAATGCATTTTTTGGAGGGCCTTGATTAGAGGAAGTGGGGGTATGTAATTAAAGGAAAGAAGGAGAGAGAAAGTGTTGGTCCCCTCCACTTAATTTCTGGTGGAAAATCCGATAGTGGAGGGAGTTCCACTCCCCACCCCCCCCCATTTTCCCACCAAAACAGACCAAAATTTGAAATCTGAAATTTTTGAATTTTCAGCCAAAATTTAAAACATAATAGGGGCTTTTTCAGCTCCCCCTTTTCATTTAAGAGGACTATAAAACCAGCCCCCATTACAAAGCTTGCAATAAATTCATAGTTACACATGTTTCTCAAAAAAAGCCAATGGTTACCACAATTTCCATTAGTTCATAATCTGAAATGTTTGCAAAAAATAACACTAATCTACAATTAGTGTCGCACAACCTTCATCTTTGTTAGCATCACACCCCACTGTCTTCATATGCACAAAGGGCAGCTTCTTCACCAAAAAAAAACAGTAGCCAGCCCTTTTGACGCTTCTAAAATCCGAACAAACACAAACAAACCAGGAACATGGAAGATCCTCATGAAGAAGAGTTTTTAGATGTTGACCAATTAATATCAGAGGAAGCACTGGCAGAACTTTACTACGATGAGCATGAAGAAATGCAAGATCAAGATTTTGAGCATTATGAATCAGATAATGAAAATATGCAAGAAGAACAGGAAACAGACATGGAGCAACAGGGCACAGGTGATAATGAAGCAAACCAGAACACTGTAAATTGGGCAGAGGGAGGGACTCCAGCTGCCAGTAGAAAGCAGCTTACATTGCAAAAAAAAAAAAAGGCAGATTGTAGATGCAATGCTTGTCACAATGCAAAATGGCATGTTACCTAAGGGACTCATGAAAGAATTAGCAATGCAATTCAGTGTACACAAGTCAACAATCACAAGAGTTTTTGCTGACATTAAAAAACAGATGGCAATGGGGAATACAATTGATGTCAGGACTAAGAAGTATGGCAGGACAGGTCCTAAGCCAAGGGAATTTTCAGACGCATTCCTACAATCAGTCCCACTTTATCTTAGGCAGACAGAGAGAAGTTATGCTGCTGCCCTGAAGATTTCTCATGTTACTCTACACAACCTAAAGAAAAAGGGAAGGCTAAGAACACATACATGCAGCACCAAGCCTGCACTCACATCAGACCACAAGATTGCTAGAATGAAATGGGTGCTGTCACATATAAATCCAATCACAGGAAATGAGGACCCCACTTTTGTTAGTATGAACCATGTTATACACATAAATGAGAAATGGTTCTATCTCAATCCTGACAAGAGAAGATTTTATCTTCTGCCAGGTGAAGAAGACCCATACATGGCACAACAGTAAAAAAGATTCAAGTTAAAGGATATGTTTATGGCTGTAATTGGGAAGTCATTGTATGACATACATGGGGGACTCATTCATGATGGGAAGTATGGGATATTCCCATTTACTGTGAAAGAGGTGGTAAAGAAATCAAGCAAAAACAGAGCAGTAGGCACTTTGGTCACCAAGGCACTCCAGAATGCGAATAGAGATGTTATTAGGGAGATGCTACTCACAAAAGTCATTCCAGCTATTCAATCTAAATGGCCAGAAACCCTCCCCAAAAATGTTATCATACAATGGGACAATGCAAGGCCTCATCAAGTCCCCCAAGATGAAGAGTTCATGGCAGCAACTAGGGCAAATGGGTTCAATATTGAACTTGTATTCCAACCAGCACAGTCACCTGATCTAACTGTGTTGGATCTAGGCTTATTTAGGTCAATGCAATCACTGCAATATCAATCTTTCCCTAAGGACTTAGATGAGCTAGTTGAAAAGGTTATTGAGTGTTATAACACATTCAAGCCCCAAGTGAACAAGTACATTTGGGTGACATTACAAAGATGCATGATCAAAATTCTGAAGGCACAAGGTGGAAACAAGTACAAAATACCTCATATGAATAAGAAGAAACTTGAAAATTTGGGAATTCTCCCAGATCAAGTGACAGTAAGGAAGGAAGTAGTAGTGGACACTGTGGATTACCTAGACAGTATGTTTAGGCCATCCAGTCAAGTTTAAGGGACTCAATTTGCAGCACAGGACACTGAGGTAGATGCAGATTAAGGGAATCAGATACAAGGTGATGTACATTGACTGCCACACTTAACCACTTAGTTAGATGTTTTTGTCTTTTGTTTCTATACTTAAGATTTTATATGCATGAATAGGTGGTTAGGTGTCTTTTGTTTATTATGATGAAGCAACCTGTAAGGTAGTAAAATGTTTATTGTAGATTAGCCCCACTTATAATGGAATGAAGATGAAATTCTGATATTATGTGTGGCCAAGTAATCCATCAGTAGAGTAATTCACAGTGTTGAATACAATACAACACTTCATAGTAGAGGTACCTCACCAACAAAATCCACCAGGAAAATGTGGGAGCAAAACTTTACTATGAAGTGACATTCAATGGAGTCCCTTCATCATTTGGATTATAAAAAAGAACTCAAGTTTGAAGACAACAGAAATGGGGGACTCACAACTTGAGTGCATCACCAACAAACAAAAAGGGACTCCACATATGAAACACAAGAACTTACTGAAAAAGTAGCCCTTGGTAACCATATCAAACAGTAGTCTCATCATTCATCAATCATATCCCCCTAATCAAGTACCTTAGCCAACATGCCAACTACAATTAGTTCAACTGGAACAACCAATATGAACCAGGTAACAACACAAGCATCTACCTAAAACCAGGACACAGCAGGAGCAACCAACAGAAACCACTAAACAACAGCACCAACATAAACAAACCAGTCATCAACAGCATAATAAAACATAAACCAGCCAACAACAACAGCAGGCAACATAAATCAACAACACCAGCAACCAACATACATTACAAGTCTACCAACAGCAACAAGCCATAAACAAAAACCACCAGCAACCACAACAGCCACCATGGTACACTACCAACCACCATCATCCAACAAAAACCAGGAAACAACACCACAAACCAACATAAACCAAACAAGATAAACCAACAATACCAACCAACCACAACCAACGAAACCAACAAACCCATTATACACAGATCCAAAACTAACAAAAATTAAAACCAAAATTCATAAAAAAAAACCAAATCCACCAGCCAACCACTAATTATGGGACTCATAGTGAACATAACACACAACAAAGACCATGGGACTCAAAGTTAAAAATGCACAATTTAGGGTTAGGGTTAGGAAGCGTTACGCAAGTAGTCAGTTGGAGGGTTCAGCCGCCTCTCTTCTTCATCAACGACAGCAGGGACACCAGAAGGAGGGTTCTGTGCAGTAGTTGAGGAACAGCCCACCTTGTCAGCCTCGTCATCTGAGGACAAAATTACCCAGTCCTCCTCAGGCAAGCCACGGATCCGCCTCAGGGCAAGCCTCGCCGCCTTCCTGATTGCCCGGATCTTCGGTGGGGCCCTAGCCCTCTTAGTTTTGGGGGTTAGGGTGGCCACAACACTGCAATCGCCGCTGTCAGAGGGTAGATCTTCAACCACAACATCGATTTTGACCATCTTCTCCCCATAGACTCACCCTCCCCCTCAACCTTCTCCTTGCGTGCTTCCTCATCCACGCTCTGAAGAACTTTCCCCAAAGCGTCGTAGGTTTCTTCGCAACAGTAGTTAAGGGCCTCATCACATTCATATAATTCACGAGGGAAGGAAGCTCCATCCTCAATGTCTTTCATTAGCCGCCTAATCAAATTCTCCTCGCCCTTGTCGTTGGTTGCTATGTAAGCATCTCGAAGTGGATCTATGTTAATCATGGTGAAAAGGGACTCGGATTTGAAAAGATCTGAGTAAGTAATAGGAGTGAGTTGGGGGAAGATGAAGGAAGAAGAGGAGAGAGAAGGACGAACAGGAAGATGAAGAACTGGGTTCAAAGAACTCATCATATCAAAAAAAAAAAAAAACCAGCCACGTTAATTAATGTTGGTTGGGAAGTTGAGGAGTTGCAATGATTAAATGGAGGGAGTAATTATAATAGCCTAATTTGATTTTATAAGCCTAACTCAGATTAAGCAAATGTAAGGGCAATGATTAAAAAAATCAGATATTTAAAGTGGGGGTAAAAATGTAATTTCATGGGTTTTTTTTAGCTAAAAAAGGAAACAAAAAAGTGAGTTGCACATAACCCTGATCGGACAAAAATGGCAAAAGTTGCAGATAATATTTAACGGAGGGAGTACAACACTTCTTTCAAAATTAATTAATGAGATTGTGACATTTAATTTTGAATAAAAAATATTGACAACTGTTTTAAACAAAAAAAATAGCTATTTACTTTGTGCAACGTACGGGACTAAACTAGTTTTGTTCTAGTTAGGGACAAAAATCAAAGTATATTTCATTTCCGTTGATTTAATTCCATTTCAAGAAGAATTGTGTGAATAATAACGGATTCAGGGCTGATTTTTTGCGCAATTGGGTGCCGATTTTTGAATTTCTTAGTATTGGATTTCATTTTCACTTGTTGAGTGTTTGGAATTTTTGGGGTTGATTGTTCAAGAATCTTTTATAAATTTGCACAATTAGGGGTTGATTTTTGCTTTTTTCCCTTCATATTCCATAATACTCCGTATTTTTGTTGATTATCAATTGCTGCATACTTCGTATTTGGGATTAAAGTTGGTCCGAAATGGTGTGCTATGTTTCCGTTGGCTTGAATGATGTTATGGTATCAGTTTCATATCGTTACGATGATATAGAGGAAGCCATTTTATTTTGGTGGAATGAAGTGGTAGCCATTTTACCATGACAGTTGATACTAACCCATTAGCAAGGGCAATTCCTGCGGCAGTAATCACCTCAATAAGATACACATCAAAATTTTATTAAGTCTAATTTAATTAATTTAGGAAAACCCCGAAAATAATACTCGAGAAAATCCATAGGACCAACCAAATGATGATGAACCCGGGGAGAGGGTGGTGCAAGTGTGCATGGAATGAAAGACTTCGTACTTTTGAGTGGGTTTTGACTTCACCCCCTCATGGAGGCTCATTTTTTATTTTTAACTGACTTTTAACAATTTAATACATTAGATATGTAAATAAAAAAAAACAAAAATACTACTATAAAACATAAAATTATGCTAAAAGTAGTCAAAATTTAATTGTATATATAACCTAGGTTGCACAAGAACAGGTATTGACACTGATACGGGTACGAAACGGATATGGGAAAGTGAAACGCTAAACATCGCCCGCAAATCTCCACATAAAGCCCACAAATTTGAAATGAAATGACATTTTTGCCCTCAACATCAAAAACACACTTTTATCTTAAAACACACTGTTATGGCTAATAAACGGGAAGTGGCGGCACCGGAGGCGGTTTCGCGGTGGAAGTAAACAAAGTCGCCGGATCGCGAAGGAGCCGTGGTGGCAGCGCCCCACCCAAGCGCCACAACCAAGGCTACTGGCGCCTGGCCAGGACGCCACCGCCACGGTGGCGGCGCCTGGGCAAGACGCCGTGGCCACGGTGGTGGCGTCCACTGAAGACGCCACCACCGTGGCTACGGCGTCCTGCCCAGGCGCCGCCACCGTGGCGGTGGCGTCCTGGCCAGGCGCCAGTAGCCTTTTTTTTTTTTTTTTTCAAATTTTTTTTAATTTTTTTTTCAATTTTTTTTTCCTATTTTTTTTTAAAATGTATTTTGTTTTTTGGATTTTCTTTGCAATTTTTTTCTTTATTATGTTTTTGTTTCCTAAATTTTTTTTATTATTTTGGTTTTTTCTTTCTAATTTTGTTTATTTTTTGAATTTACTAAAGCATATTTTCAAAATAAATTAATATTTTTTTTTGTTTTTTTTTAAAAAAAATTCAAATTTATCAAAATTCAAACAAAATAAAAAAAAAATAAAAACCAAAACGAAAAAAAAGATTTAAAAAAAAATATACCGAGGAGGTGGCGCCTGGCCAGGACGCCACCACCGTGGCTGGGGCGCCTGGCCAGGACGCCACTACCATGGTGGCGGCGTCCTGGCCAGGCGCCCCAGCCACGGTGATGGCGTCCTGGCCAGGCGCCCCATCCACGGTGGCGGCGTCCCGGCCAGACGTTCGCCGCCAAAACTTGATTTTTAACCACTTCAGACCTCGTTTTCCGGCTACGACGGCGGCTCTTTGGTGTCCCTCGGCGATCCGGCGCTGTTCCACATTTTGGGTGAGACAAAATTTCGTTTTAGGTTAAAATTAGAACAAGGGCAAAGTTGTCAAAATTTTATAAATTGTGGGCTTTATGTAGAAAAACGCGGGCGATGTTTAACAAGTCCCATGGGAAAACGTCTATCTCAGAATAAGGGACACAGGTAAGGAATGTTAAAATTCATATAATATATTTTAAAAAAAGAATTTGACCATATATTTGTCATTCTGTCATTTCATTAGATCATATTGTATCATATTAACAATGAGCTATATATGAAAGCACCCATATTATTTAATAATTACCTTATTTATCTTACTTAACAAAAAAAAAAAGTTAAACAACCCATATTATAGTAGGATACAGTCCGAGATGTATCGTCGCGAGTCCCACGAGTGTCGGTGTCTGATACAGTGTCGAATACGGACTTGTCGGACATGGCAATTAGATGAAGTGTCCACATATCCTAGTATAGAACAAATCAAAGTCAAATAAAGCAGAACAACAATTGTTTCCCACAGGTTGTACAAATTATAAGGAGAATTTCATACATGAAACAAGAAACTAATGGAACTACTCGTATTTCATTTATCTAACATGGGATCGCTGGTACAATTTCATATAACTGATGTACGTTATGTTGGGCCTAGTTCATAATCTTAGCCCAATATAGCTCAAAAGATAAAAATACTCATCCATAATCCAACTCATCATCATTAACCATCCAATTAATCATCACAAAGTACATATATACCACCTGAAAGTACATCTATCCAATAAAGTACAGTTTTGCCACCTGAAAGTATATCTATAAATAGTCAATCAATGATTAATGACGTTAACTTTTTCTGATCTCACTCATTCTCTCTTTACTTTCTC